ACTCCTAAGACTGGGAGGAGGGACAGACCCCTGAAGGTGTACGTAGAAGACAGTGTGTTGACGTGACAATGGCAGTGTGCCAAGCGGTGGTTCAGCTCTTGGTTGGCTGGAAAGGAGTAAATGTGAGGGATGGCTTGGAGGAGGGGAAGAGGAAGGAAGCCACACAGAAGTTTAGGCTGATGAGATGCAGGAAAGGCCTGGTCTAGACAGGACAATGCAGCGATGAGAAGCGTGAAACCCCAGGTGTGCTCGCACGAGCACACAGCGCGAGGCGGGAAAGGCAGTGTGTGAGGCCGCGCGGGGAGCAGGGGACCAGTCCTGGGGGGCCTGGCGGAGGCACGTGGGCATGACCAGGCAGCACAGACTGCAATGTTTCAAGCAGAGAAAGGTCACGATCAAGCCTGAGTTTTAGAAAGAGCACTTTGCAGGTGACCTGGAAGTAGAGAGTCCGAGAGATCAACTTGGGGGTTTAGACCAAGTAGGAACTGGGAGAAAATGGGGCGCCAGACCGGAGGTTTTGATGCAGCTGAAGCAGGCGTGTGGTGGGTACACATGAGTGGAAACTGGAAAGACAAGTGCTTATGTTCAGAGAAGGAAAGGTTGGACTTTTGAGAGTTTTTATGGTAGATTCCAGATGATAATAAGGTCCAAGTGTGACCTGGGGGTGGGGGTCGGAAGTATCTGGAATCCAGGAGGTGATGAGAAAGAGCTCGAATGACCTTGGAGACTCACTTGTTTCCCCTTTATGTAGCTCAGCAGAAAGCTAGCTCAGCAGGCACCCGCAGGGCCGGGGGTGGGGGAAACAGGCGCCCCTTCTGTCATTTCTGCCCTCTGGCAGTTCCCAGTATTAGTGGTACAGGTGTTTCCCGCCTCCCGGTCCCTACAGTTGTGGGGCACTGCCGGCAGCTCGCTCCCTGCAGGAGTGCTAGCCACGGGACCCACAGTCAGAAAATACAGCTCCCGTTCAAAAGGGCTGCCAGAGAAATGGCATCCATATAATTATGAAAAGGGAAGTATAATTTCTCAAAATATGATCTGTAGACCTCTGTACTGAAACGTCCCTGGGGTGCTTATTTAAAAGGTTAATAAATATATAAATAATAAGGCTAGTCCTGGACACCTCCCCTTTCCAAACATAAACAAAGCCAGGCACTACTTAAAGTGGTGAAGACAGATTTCAATCAATAATATACAGTAGCAATAATACAGGAAATGGGTCCATCGTGAACTGAACTCAGCTGCACCTGAGGTGACCAGGGTTTTAAAGGGAGAATGAGGGAATAGGAACGGGGAGGGGGGCTCCGTAGAGTGGGAGAGGTGCAAAAGGTGGGAAGGGCGGGGCGTTGGCCACGTGAAACCCATCTGTGTTGACTAATTGTTGCTTATCGAAGTTAGGCTCCTACCCTCTCACAGAAGCTAGACCAGGGCCCCCTCTTCAGGTGTTGGCTGGGACAAACAGCCAGTTCTTCAGGCAGCCTGGAGTGTTTCTCAGGGAGCTGCGGTCATCCTTGGGATGTGGCCTTGAGCTGTTAGAAACTATGTTAGTGTTTAGTTAAGTCTTTATAGCCCAAGGTTGAATCCAGAGAAGGCTCAGGGGAACCTGGCTAGAATTGAGTCCAGGAGAGAGCCTGTCACCCTCTAAACCGATATGCCCACCCCTCCTGAGTCCCATGTGAGACCTCCAGAGAGACCCATGTGAACAAGCCCTGTTATGCTCACTAATCTACTGAGGTCTAGAAGGAGGGAGGGAGGTGGGGGGTGCAGAGGTTCCCTGGCTTCTTCAGGGAAGGGCTTGAGGAGGGGAGAGGCTGGGCAGGGGGGTGGGAGGATGACTGGGGGCAGACTGGATTCTTCTCTTGGATGCTGGATGGCAGCCCCCCACCCATGGAGGTCAGGGCCTCTCACTCCTGGGGAGCAGCAGGTCTGACCAGCTCTGGCTCCTGAGGCCCTGGTGGGAGTGGGATGTTGAGACCTGGGGGACGGCAGTGGGGCACCAGCTTGGGGGCATGAGGGGAGCACAGCCGTTCAAGAAGAAGACAAGCCCTGAGGCCTGAAGCAGAAGTGGGAATAGTGGGTCAAGGTGAGGCTTTACGTATGGGAGGGTAATGTTGGAAAGAGAGTTTGGCGCCACGCTGTGGAGTGTTTTGGATTGTAGAGCGGCAGGAAATTAAGACCTCAATCTGTGACTGATATGAAGGCTTCGTGATATGAAGGCTCCACCGCAGAATGGTGGAGCCAGGCTCCCTGACACATGCGCCACCAGACTAGCCCTGGACTTACTTAACCAGATTCTCACATGAGAGGTCAGTAAATTTCTTTCTTGTTTGACCCGCTGTTGTGTAGGGTCTCTATTGCAGCAGCTGAACTTAGAACCTAATAAAAGAATGGCTACATGTACTGCTTAACTGTTGCCACAAGAGCGCTATGTGACAAACCCACCCCAGAACTCGGTGGGTTGGAGTAACGATTGTCACCATTCTGCAGCGTAGCTGGGACAGCTCTGCTCAACGCCCTGCTTGCTGGGTCTGCTCTGCGCCTCATTCCTGGTCTGCAGATCAGCCAGGGCGAGTCTTTTCCATGTGTGTTCATTCTGGGGCCCAGGCTGAAGAGGCAGCAGCTGCTCAAGGGAGGCATAAGAGGGCAAGGCAGAAACCCATCAGGCCTCCTCCGTCCTAGGCACAGAACCAGCACTCTCCCTTCTGCCCATTCCATGGGCCGACGCCCCCCTGCCAGGGAATGAGACGGTACACTCTGCCCACAGAGACGCGGTAAGGGTGTGGATGCAGGGAGAGGTGAGCGCTCGGGGCCAAAAAGTCTATTCCAGGTTGTAACTGAGTCTTGATTTGGGATGTGTGCAGACAATTGTGATTTTATTCAGCACTCATATGACCCGCTGGTAAGGTTATTCCTGGTTCTGTAGCAGTAATGAGTGTTCTGAAGAATGCACAAATTCCACTCTCCCAGTTGTCATTGGGAAAGATAGTGCCCACCGGTGTGCAGACCCCAGCACTGTTCACTGTTAGTTCAGGAGCCCTGACAAGGCAGGAATCAAATCTCCTTCCTCCGTCCAATGTCTAGCCGCAAGCCCTGCCCAGTGGTGACTCAGGAATATTTCTGAGTGAAGTTTAGGCCATTTCTTCATTCCCCCTATATGATTCCTTGTACAGACTGACCACTCAAAGGCCAGCACGTGCTGCTGTGCACTCGCCCCATAAGCTGCCAAGGGGCTGTGCCAAGTGGATCTGGGATTTGTACCCGGGCCTGTCTGATGTTAAATCGTGCATCCACTGCCTCCTGTACAGACCTCAGAGAAGAAAGGGCTACACGGGGTAAACATCAAAAGAGGTTGGTGAGATGTGCTCTCTAGAGGTCATATGAGACTGGAAAGGTTCTCATTGCCTCAAATATCCTGAAAGGAAGGCTGCCTAAAGGCACAAGCTTAGGGATCCACATGGACTGAAGGAGAATTTTAAGAACAGGGAGATTCACCATCAGAACCCGCACAGCTTCACAAAGTCCCTTGGCCTCTCCATCATCTCTTTGTCCCTCTCATCAGAGCGAAAGCAAAACCAACCTCAGATGCTCTCCATTAATTTCTGCCTTGCCCAGTGCACTTTGCATTCTAAAGGAGAACCACTTGCAGGGAGCCATGATTAACCCTGAGGAATGCCACCCTCACCGTTGACTTCCAGGCACAGGGCATGTGAGTGGACGTTGTATTTTAGGGCAGTGATCATGGTAAGTTATTTCTTCTAGTCCCTGAAAGGGATTATTTCATATCAAACTATCTCAGGCTTAGGCTGATAAAAGTGGAAGGATGAGGAACCCAGAATTGTTGCAAGATGTGTTGGTTATGATGGCATGATGTAAAAGATTTCAGAGCTTTTTATTAAAAGTTGTGCTCCATGGCTCTCCACGCTGAGTAAGGGAATACCTTGCTGGATTACAGAGGATATTATGCAGCAGCTTTTAAAAATAAGGAAGGCCAGTCTATCTTCAAGACATGTGTTGTTAAGTGAACAAAGCAAGATGTGGTACAACATGCAGAGTATGCCACTAGCCACGTGTGGCCATGTAAATCCAAATTTAAATTAATGAAAATGAAATAAAGTTTAAAAGTCACTTCCAAGTTGCACTAGCCACATTTCAAGTGCTCTACAGGCCGTGTGACTGATGGCTCTTTATTGGGCAGCACAGGGAGACTTCTTTAAAAAATTGAACTATGGTTGATTTACGATGTGTTTGTTTCTGGTGTACAGCAAAGTGATTCATTTATACAGATAAATACTTTTTCATATTCTTTTCCATGATATATTATTACAAGAAACTGACTATAGTTCCCTGTGGTATACAGCACGACCTTGCTGTTTATTTTATATACAGTAGTGTGTATCCGCAAATCTCAAACTCCTAATTTATTCCTCCTCCACTTTCCCCTTTGATAACCATAAGTTTGTTTTCTGTGTTTGTGAGTCTGTTTTGTAAATAAGTTTATTTGTGTCACACTTTAGATTCCACACACTAGTGTTGTCATATGATACTTGTCTTACTTCACTTAGTATGATAATCTCTAGGTCCATCCATGTTGCTGCAAATGGTATTATTTCATTTTTATGGCTCAGTACTATTCCATTATATGTATACACCACATCTTCTTTATCCATTCAGCAGGTAGGCTGTTTTTACCATGGAAACGATGCTGGTACAGAATATCTCCGGAGGACATACAAGAAACTGAATGGTGGTTGCTTTCAGGGAAGGGGACTGGGAGGCTGCAGCACCATATTTCCTTTTGTACCTTTTAATTTTATATCATATAGTTGTATTAGTAAATTGAAAGATAAACTAAAAAAGAAAAAACAACTTTGGAGTTAGGGATTCCCATATAGGGTCACTAGGTACTAGGACAGTGGTTCCCAGGCGATCCCTTTGCAATCAGCCAGAAAACAAAACCAAATCTTAAGACCAAATTCTTAACAGGTTTTCACATGTTCCTTAATGTTACTGTGGTAAGTAAAACACAATTCATTAAAAACAATAGTGCCTTTACAGTAATTTTTGGTCCTTACGTATTTTTTACCAATTAGTATCTACTAAAGATATAACTATTATCATGAGGAGGTCCAAAGACCATCTGTCTGAGATTCCATAAAACCCAAGGCCATCTGCCAGCGGCCTCTACTTGGTCTGTACCTGTACCTGGCTGGGCTCCAGACCAGGGTTTTCTCAGAAGTGTCCACTGTGGGCCTCCACCTCATGTGAATGACACATTTCTGGGACAGTCCCTTTGAGCCTAATGGTTCTGCCCAACCACAGGCATGGGGCTTTGGTTTTTGCCACGACCTTGAAGGGTGGACGTAGCTGCTCTGGTTTATCATCACCAACTGGCACAGATCCTGACACCAGCCAGCTTCAGGGCCCAGCCCGGCTCAGCATTTACCCTGTGGCTCACACCCAGCACGTTCAGCCCTGCTCTCTTCCCAGCCCCTTCTCTGCCTGCAGCCTCCACTCTATTTTCTTTTAA